TCCTCGGTAACATAGGCTCATAAACACTTTCTGAAGCAACAGAACAGCAGGTTTTTGCCTTGCATTTATTAGAGAAGTGCCCTGTGCAGTGCTGCAGAGCTGTGCTGTAAAGGGCTGTGACTGTGGCATCTGCATCTTCCACTGCAGAATAAATAAGGCACAGGTTCTGAGTGTGTAACTGCAGGGCAGTTTTCCTTCCTATCCAGGTACCTCCTATCCAGGGCTGTCTTCAGGTAAATACTTCAGACCTGTTGTGCATGGTAGGAATAGAAGTTACATTTCAAATGAAGAGTCAAGAAGGTGGCGAGGACAGGGTTCAGATCTAGCCCTTATTTGTCATTAGAAGACCAGATTTGAAGTATGACTTCCTCCTCTTAAATACTAAAAATATCTCTGTGGGCTGTCGGAGTCCAATGTACAATAAGGCATTAAGTCTGAAATATGAAATAAATGTAAGATAACAGTCCAAGCAGCTTTTACAATCCAAGTGCTCTCACTCCTTGGCAAAGAGAAGCAGTTATCTCTCTTGATTGCTATGTGCTCTAGACAGAAATGGTTCTTTCCAGCCCTGGGCTTTGTTACTGGAGGGAGATGCACATACTTCTTATTTTTCCCCAAACAGTCCTTAACCAACTCCCCACAAATGCCTACTTATAGGGCAGGAGGAGAAAAGTGAGTGTTTGCCCTTCCCAACAACCTTCACATGAACTGTATGCATCCTGCTAGACCCAAGCGTGCTGAAGGTCACTGCTGAAATAATCTGGTCTCATGCATCCTCTCTCAGAGATTGCTTTTTGTCATTGACTGCCTGAGTGATGCAAGCCCCAAAGAGCAGAGCATGGGGGGCAGAGCAATGTGATCCAGGGAGCAATCTGGCTTGTTCACTCACTTTCTCTCCCAGCAGGGAAGTTCATGACTGCCCAATGCAGGGGGACGTTTCTGGCACATCTCAGGCAAGAGCTGGTGGCACTGTTAATAGAGCATGGCTGTCTCATTTGTAGGCTCTATTCATCAGACAGCTGAGAATTATCAGTACTGATGCTCCACTCATTCTCTTTTTCTCCAAGCTAGTGATTTGTCTGTGTTATGGGTAGGTAAGCTTGACAAAACATTACACATTAGCAGCTGAGAAGGTATTTGAAATGGGAAAATTGCTTGCAAACTGCTTCATTGCAGATCCAAGTAACAAATTCTTTCTTTCCCTCAATGAGAGATAGTTAAAGCCCAAATTAACATGTCTGTCTCCCCCACTCTGCAGGGGGAATCACTCTTCAAGACAAATGAGAATGAGAGCTGGCTCTGGGAAGGCTGCATTAGGCAGAGTTTTGTATCCATTGTGTTTGCCATCCTGAGCGTGAGCAGTGCAGGCACAGATGAGGAGATGGTGAAAAGATTTGCACTTCAGTGAACTTTGAGATGGATTAGCATGGGAATTTGAGTGCTTACTATTTACTCTGCGATTGTTTTATATATTTAACTGCATAGTTTCCCCTTGCTTGTTTTATTATTTTTTTTCTCTGATACGTTCACATCTTGCTCTCTTTGCTGCAAAGTCATGTAAGGAGAGTGGGAAGGAGGACGTTACCCTGTCTAACATCATGTTATTACAAGAAAAATGCATCTGAATCCATTGGGCCCTCATGCTTTCCAATCTGATAATATATTAGAGAAGAGAAAGGAAATCGTTCTTGCCACTTGTTGTTGTCAAAGACCCTAAAAAAAAGCTGTGAGAGGCAGACAGAACATTGCTGTATGTTAGAAGGGGGGAGATATGCTTTAATTTATCTAAGCAATACAGGTGGCAGCAGGTGACATGGCAGAGTAAAAGGGATAACCAAAAGGATGAACAAAAGCCCCTGAGAGGTTTGAACTTGGCCAACTTATTTTATCAGTTTTGTGAACTCTACATATGGAGTCTTTTAAATAGATTTTATTATTAAATACCTGAGGAAAATCTAGGAAAAATTTCTCGAATTGTAAGAAATCTTAAATTTGGGGAATAGTAGTTCAGATTAGCAAAAATTACCCTTTTAGGACTGTCTCTCTTAAACAAAGTTCTCAAATATGTTGCAAAATTATTTTATAGTATATTCTGGTGAAAAATCAACTCACCAATGTTGTTTTGCACTAGCACAGGTGCTTTTGTGGTGTATGAGAGCACTTCATAGTATTCTGGCATAGACCGTGAAAAATGCCATATTCCAGAAGTCATGTTCTAGGTAAACAAGGTAATTTTCCCTGAAATAAAATATGTCTTGAATTTAGGTTGGATTTTCACTTTTTGCAGAAAGAAGTCACAACGCTAAGTAAGAATATTTTTTTCCCCACTTTTTTTGAAAAATAGTATGTCTAGCAGCAGTTTCCCATTATATCATGAATAACACAGATTTATAATTAAACCTTCATCAACTTGAAATTGCCAACACCCCCTCTGGCAAAACCTCGTGTTTCCCAGAGAGTTTTAATCCTGCACTGTCCTTCACATGTTATTTGTAAGGCCAGGTGAGGCGAAAGCAATAAGTATTAATATAGATAATTTGTTTTCTACTATTTTAGTTGTATAACTGCATTGTTGTGCCTGTTAATTTATAATATGCATTTATGAAAAAAATAATTCATTTTAGTACTTCATACTTTCAAATACCAGCCTATTTAATGCTGCACTTTATTTAATGCTCCAAGGTCAGCTGCACTTTGTGTCCAGGTTAGAATCCACCTGAAACACACCCTTAGGAGAGCACAGTCCTGCTTGTTGCTTCTCTGGTAGCACCTGCAAAATGCAGTGCTCTGAGTGCAGTGTGTTCTATGTAGTCCTTCATTTACAGAGAGCTTCATACAATAACAAAGGTGTAAGGTGCTAAGGTGAAAATATAGTAGCAGATGACAGCAGCCTTGTCCATCTATTTCTGTACAGGCCATCTGCTGCAAATTTTGTAGGAAGGTGTGAATAATTCAGTACTACTTCAGAAGAAAGCTCCCTGAGACAGCTCCCACTTTTCTCCCCCTTTTCTACATGTTTTCTGGAAATTATATTTTTTTCTTATTACTCAGGATCTGTAGCTATCCCAGCTTTGGCTTATTTTGCCCTTTGGGGCAAAATTTCTGTGTCTATTTCCACCCCTGTGTCACTAAAATTTCCTTGGAATTTTGTTTCTTAAAAAGGGGCCATATTTCCCCCCACCACTCCATCTGAGTTTCCCTGTAAGCACTGCTGTGCTGGGCTTGTGTGCAGTGTGTGTGAGCCCCCTTTTTTGTCCATAAGGCAAGGGACTTGGACAGGCTTGGCTGTCTTGTTCCTAGAAGTATCTGCATAGAAACACTTGAGAGGAGTTAAACACCAAACTGGCAAGCTGACAGAAAGCCTTTATGGGAAGAGTATGTGTACTGCTAATTCTGGTGACAAACACCCAACAATAGTAGCGTGCTGAAGCTTACAGCAATTTGCTTTTCACTGTGGGCTTGCCAGAAATGAAGCATGTTATATTTAGACCAACTGGAAGGGAAATCTCAGACACTAATTCAAATCACAGAACAAGGAATAGAATTAACTCTGATCACAACCTTTAAAATAGACTGCTACAACAATAAAAGAGTGCGTGCACATTAACTGTACAAGCTGACTGTGCAAGTGTCACAATATTCATGACTTAAATAGCTTCTTAGAGTACAACGGAGCTGGCAAAAGTGTCCTATTTTCAAGAGGATTTCTCTTTTGTCTATTTAAAGCACAGATCTATGGGAGAATACAGTGTGCAAGACAGGGCTGGTGGACCTTATGTGTTTTCTCTATTCCCAGGGCCTTTAAAACCAAGATTTACTTCTCCCTGCATCTCGTTTTATCTCCTTCCTGGTTTTAAGATCTTTTCTCTCCTCTGCAGTGCTGCAGCCGCTCTAAATGACTAGACTGATTCATTCCATCATTCCAGTATATTTTTGTATTTCAATTCTAAACCATTTCCATCCCCAGAATTTTGCTATTGAAGCTGTTTCTTTTTATTACAGTTTTGGAAAAAAAAATACACAATGTTTGGATAGTAAGTAAGACCTAGGTAAAATCACATTTTATTTTCAGCTTCAACTCTGCAGAATTTTAGCTGCCATGCTCATTTTAATTTGTTTTGTGGTGGTCCGCATTTTTAATTAAAATTAATATTTAGGGTTCATTAGAGCGGGATTTGGGGAGCTTGCTGACAAAGACTTGAAAATACTTTTGGGAAGGAAGAGAAATCAATATTATTGGCTACTGTATAAGGTATCTTAAATCTACTTGTATTTTATGCTAGTGATACATGCATTTATGATAATTCATAAAGAATACTTTCAAACCAAATCTCAGACATCAACACAACAACATATTCATGTAGTCTAGTGCATATTTTAGAACACCTGCAGTATTTGAAAGTTAACATAGGAAGATACAGTCCTTTTTTGCTTTAACATAGACTCCCCATTCCCCTAATAATCTGGAGTCATGTTGAAATGAATTGCACCTTGGTTTGCAAAAGCATTATTAATGCAAATAGTGGATATAAGGAGGGAACTTTGGCGTGTTCCCAGAAATTGTTCCTCTTGAGTTGCTCTGATAGTATTATTAATCTGCTTATTAAGCTGTCATAGCATAGCATAGCATTTAGTTTAGCTAGCTACGTTCTATTTCCGACAGCAAGTCAAGGAAAGCATATATATTTTCTGCCTTAACTTCAATTAAGTAGTAGAGAATATGTGACTACTGGTTTTTATTAATTTCATGAGCTTTAAAGATGCAATTTCTATCACCTGTGACTTTTTTAATGTAGATTTAGTGTAGTCAGTGAGATGATTTTATTTTCTAAGTTATTTTCTCAGCATTTTCTCCTTCTAGTGGCTTTCAAAAGAAAAAACATTCTGCATAAAACCTCTGTAAAATTGTTTGATTTATACAAAAATTTACTTTCATGTTTAATGTTATTCCTCTCCTGTAATTGTGTAGCTAACATGCATATTACTTTGTTTGTTTTCAGACGTTTGGAACAAAACCTCATCAAGGTCATTCCCCCTGGAGCTTTTACCCAGTACAAGAAGCTTAAAAGAATGTAAGTTTTATTAACAAGACCAACACACAAGAGCAATCACAAATCTTCTAGCTTCAAGTTCAGTACCTTCATTTTAGAAACATATTGGCAATTTCTGTGTTGAAAACACCAGGGATTGCACAAATAATCTCTTCAAAGTGTAAGCAACATTGGAATTTGGTTCAGGATGCCTAACGGTGCATGAAATCCTTCATAATGCTTAATTTCTCTTCCTATTATAAACGATGTGAGCTAATTAGTTGTTAGTCTGCTCAAACATCAAATCTACTTCCTCAGAAAGGATTTTAAGTTCCTCTTTTTTTTCTTTCATTCATTCTGGTATTTGTTTACACAACTTCAATTTAGTTGACCCCAGTTAAAGCAGGAGTGCATGTTCTTGCAGAGTAGACAGGATCTTTTTTTAGTGTGTTCAATGTTCTGACGCTGAAATGGTTTGACTCTTTACAAGAATAAAAAGAAACCTTCTAGAACTCATTTTCTCTGTTTCTTGATCATCAGTAGATACCCAGACAATTCTTATTAGCTCTTGTGGTTTCTCTTTGAATTTAAAAAAAAATAAATAAAAATCCTGATTTGTAGCAGGGCTCTCATGCAGATAACCTGGGCATTCCTCATAGTGAGTCTTCCTTTTCATTTTTCAGTGATAAATGAGACATGTTGTGACAGCAGTGCAATGATACGGGCAATGGTAAAACAAGTTACTCCTGCTTCGCCGTAGTGTCAGGATGTTGATGGGTCCCATCAGACCAGTAACTTCCAGAAGTCATTAGGCTTTGTAGCTCAGTGCTAAGACTGCTAAAAAGGTGCCCTTACAGTTTGGAATTAAGAAACTCAGCTCATTTCACAGAAGATACGGGATTATCAGACAGCTGATGTTTTTGGAAACATAAAGGAGCTTGTGCTTTGGATTTAAGGGTAGAATTACTGTGTTTGCCAGTCGAAACTTACCAAGTTCCTAGAGCTGAAGAGCTGTAAATATGGATCTTAATATTTAACAAGTCAAGTCATCAATCTTATAGAGTCTCTATTCTTCCATCTCACTTTCAATATAGCTGTATGTATTTTTAAAGAAGGACTGTATTAGATAGCAGGATGGTAATTTCAGTGAAAAATTACAGATCCCTTTTCAGTGACCTAACTTGTAACTTCTTCATTATTAAAGTCACTACTTAGTTCTTTCTGAGGTATGACTAATTTTAGATTTTGGCAATGTTTTACTGTCCTTCCATTTTTTATAACTGGTGAACTGTAGTTTTATGGGAGTTGACCAAAAAAGTGTTCTTTAACATCACTAGCTGCTCAATCCAATGTTGCACTTACTGAAATCATTAATTTTAGAATTTCACAGCAGAATTACATTACCAAAATGTATTCACAGCTTTCTGGATTATAATTGGCACACTCATTAAGGTCTGAACTTGTAGTTAAATAATAAGTTATTGTGCCAGATGGAGTGTACCAAAGCTTAGTTAACATGGCAACATTTTCTGGAAGAATTTGGGGTAGGGAGTCAGGCTGCAGAATGACCCATAACAAATATGATGGTTTGCCATTTGGTTACTGACCTCTCTCCTTGTCAAAGTTTCATTCCTAAAGCTGGACAGTGAGGCTCTAACCTGGGTATTGTGAATTGTATTGCATTTGTCTTCTTCTGGTGAATAAATACGCAAGAAGTTTAGGGATAATAGGCTGCTCACTTGCAGTTCACTCAGTGATTTGTTTACTGAGTATTAGCTGCAAGATTATGCCATTTCCTTATATTAAATAATTGGATAACTGAGATTAATTTTTAGGTATGAGCCAGTTGTCCAAGATGATCTTTGCAGGACTTGATATTAATAGGTCAAGATGCTAGCAGAATATGTGTGTGTGTATATATATATTAATTCAAGTGTTATATTTGCATCTAGCTGAAGTATGCTACTTAGAATGTCTCTTCAATAGCTTCCAGGACATGCAAGTTATTACTTTCGTTATTGTTTTTTAGCAACAGAGCTGAAATATTTTGTGTCCTGGGCTTCTTCATAATAATTGTCTACATCTTCTCACACAATTGCAGGAAGCAAACTGTGTCTGTCACAGAAAGAAGATTTGGCACCTATAGTAGTATTGAAATATGCAGTTGAATTATACGATCTGGGATTATAGTTCCCCTGATTTTGAAGCAAATGTAACAATTCTTACCTCTACACTCAATTATTCAAGGTATTTAGAAGAGGTCTGAGGTGTGTTTGAAGGAGATACACCCCAACAAGTCGTCATTATTGCGTGAAGCAGTCATACCATTTTTAATGCAAGGTTCTGTAACTTCTAGCCTATGAGTTCCAAAGTTTATGGCATTACCTACAATTTGCATTTGCTTTTGTGAAGCTTTTAACTAACAAGTTGGTAGCACAAGACTAAGAGCCAAGTACATAGAGCCAGTTTGAAAGATGTGGTTGTACCTCTCTAGCTCTGATGTTTGTAGTGGCATTTCATGTCAAATTAATGTTGCCACATATTAGCAGAAAACACATTGAGATTTCACAGCCTTCCCAGTAGCTCTGTGGTATTGCTACTTTTGTTAAGCAGCTTTTAAAAACTAAACCATATATGACATGGATTTTTTGCTGAGTACTCTTGTCAAATGAGAACAGTCAATTTTACATGTTAGAGATAATCCAGTAATCTGTTTCTAATTATGTTAGTCAACAAAGAGAATATTCATCCAAAGCTATTAGTAGTTTTGGATTTGGCTGCATCTAAAAATAAATCTGTTTTGTTTCAAAACCTTTTACAGCAAAGACATTTAAGCCATACAGTCATATGTTGTAATGGTGACTCACAGGGCATCCTTGCTCTCCTGATACAAAGTCAAAAACAGTTTATGTCCCTAACTAGTAACTGAACACAGCCACTCTCCAAGCTGGGTTAAACAATTTTTTGAAAGAGGATCTCTGCTGTTCTTTCTAAAGTACAGGAAGACTACTATGAGGTGACTATTTCCTAATCTATTTCCTGCCTGGGTGGAATCCTGATAATTTTATTACATTTCCAGCTAAAGAGCCACATTTCCCCTGTGTGATTCATAACCCTGAACTATGAAAATGACCCTTACGTGATCTCAATTGGCTTAACTGTGCAGGGCAGAACACCTGTATCTCTTGGTCATGATGCAAATCAAGCATAGAGTAGAATGTTCTTACCAAAACAGACCAAAGGAAGGGAAGAAAAATACAAGGACATAATTTAATCTCTTTGTTTCAGTCAAGTCGCAAGGAGATTGAGCTTCCTTATCCAACAGCAGTGAAGCTTGGGCCCTAATAGAAAGGAAATAATGTGTCTAATTATCTTCTAATGCTGATTGTAGTGCATCTGCATGAAGAGAGAGAGTGTCATCACCCAGCATGCCATTAATGCACGTTCAGGCACCATTAGTTATGCACTTATTAGCATCCGGACATGGGGAGAGAGAAAGGATGAAAATGTTGAAATGCAGCAAATCAATAAAATAGTGCTTTGTTTCAAAAATTAGATGCCCCTTTTTAGATCCTTGTCATTTTTCAGCAAGCTCATGATTTAATGTCATTATAATGGGTTCCTCAATAAATAGATAGCACAAGGTCACATCAGACTTCTGCCTACATAAGAATTACTAGATAAAAAGCAGCAAATGCTGCCGGGCAGTCTAAACAAGCTTCACAAAAACTTGTGTATAAATGAATATTCCTACTTCTGCTGTCTCAAATTTTGCTGCTGTAAATTGAGCTAAAGAACCAGAAACCTTCACTGAATGATGTCCTTGCAGACCGAATCTTATCATACAAAATAGCAGTAGGTCATAGAGCAGTTGTTTCATGAGCCTTATAAAGGAACCAAAGAAAACCCCACTATATGTGGCTAGATTTAAAAACAGTTGGAGGGCTTCATTAAAATTTTAACCAACAGAATCTGTAGCTCAAAATTTGTATTGAATATAGAACTTTGTTACTTTCTGATCTGTAAGTTCTTGTTCAAGTGGTGTTTATTTAGAGCCTGACTGGGATCCTTAGCCTGTGCCCCAGTGGAACTAACAGTTAAGATGTACATAAAGGATTGTATTACTGCAGCTTCAGCTATCAGTGATTTGATACAAGCTGGTACTCACTTGTCAGGGAATGCAACGAGGTGGCTGAAAGCTATGCCTGTAGCTAAGCACCTGGTTGGACTGACTGACAGAAAGATTGGATTGCAGTGACAGTCGTGATAAGGCACCTGGTTCTGAGCGGCTGGGTCGCAAGTCTAGTAAATTGTGGTGTAGTCTGTATTTATCTTTGTATACTTAGTTGGTTATGATTAAAATTTAAGAGCATTTTCCAAACAAGAAACACACTTTCCCTTGAAAATGACAGCTATAACTATTCCAGTCACATCATAGCTGAAGTGGTGGAATCTTGCTGGGTCTCCCTGGCAGGGCTGGCAGAGTGCTATGTGTTCTCCACAGTGCTGCTGGCTTCAAAGGGCCACAGTTTCCATTCAGATGCTCATAGGCTTTCCCTAGTGTCTGAAAACTCCAGGCACACCTGCCAGTGCTGTCAACCCTCTTCTCCCCTGTCTCACCAGATAAAGGTGATGCTTTTTTTCTCTAGGTCATTAAAAGTCAACATCACTGCCACAGTGCTGAACTCCTCAGTGACACTGGTGCCTGCTGTGGGATCAGGGGCTGGGGAACCTTTCCAATCCCCTTTCCCATTGATATTAAAGAGAGATGGTGTGGAGAAAGTCTTCCCAGAGAAGAATTTTATCATCCTTGGGATTACTGATCTTGTTTCACATAAATTTAGTCTAACTCTTAGTGGAATTCCCTAGGGTTTTGATGGGAATTTCGTTTGACTATACTACATTGTTACTGGTATTTATGAGCGTGTTCCTCTTTACATCTCATTTACCACAAGGTTTCTTTCCTTAGACACAGCCTTGATGCCTCAGATGCCATCCCCCTGCTGCCTAGAATATGCTGACACCACTAATTCCACCGTCTTCCTTAACACACATCTGCCAGTGCTTTCCAGCTGCCTTGGAATCTCTCCTCACCTTATCTAGCTTTTCACTTACAATCAAAATGTGATCTTCTGTGCTGTTGTAAAGTTAGGCTTCCATTTCTGCATTTAAACATTTAGACAATCTTTATGCCTTTTCACAGGCTGCTCCTCATGCTTGAGGGTCACCCTGCAGTGTCACAATGTGATCTCTGTTATTAGTAGTTCTTAAGATGGCTTTATCAAGGGTTATTATTCAGTGGGTTACCTCACTGTTGTTCTTCATAATAGTAGGTTTCAGTGTCTGTAAAATGAAAAAACTTATTAACAGGGGAGCTGCTGATTTATTGAGGCTACAGTGATACAGACTGACGTTTTCTGATCAGTTCTGGAATCTGCCTATCCGTGTCTTTACACAATTGATCATTTCTCTGAGGTAGTATGATCTTTTAGATCTGTTTTTGTATCAAGTATATTCTTCCAATGAACTTCAGAAAAAAATATTTTCATCAAATTCCTGTTTACAAATGTGTTTTTTTTTAATACTCCCTTCTCTTTTCAGAGACATCAGCAAGAATCAAATATCTGACATTGCACCTGATGCATTCAAAGGCTTGAAATCTCTCATTTCATTGTAAGTAGAAAATAGAACTGAATGGGCATTTGGGGAGAGCTTGCATGTAAGAAAAATAAAAATGATAAGGTGTTGTCTGGGGAACTTATGTTTCTGTGTGAAATTGCTAGCTTCATGGAGCATCTAAACTTTTGTAAATGAAAATTTTGTCACAAATTTTGGAAGGAGGAAATGTTTACACATCTCTGGTAAGTTCCTTTATAAATTAACACCCCCAAGGTTACTGACTGATTCAGTTCAGAGCCATTGCATTAGTTGATCTACTGTACATGTGCACCTGCAGGCTAATCCATGCCCCCCAGCTCATCCCAGCACACAGAAACCTCATCACAGCTCAGACACTAATAATCAGGGAGAAGTGAGGGAAAATACTTACATACTTAATTTTTTATCTATGTATTAAAGAACTGATATTGCACTCTCTTGTGAGTGTTTTGGTTTATTTGTGTTCTGGGTTTTTTCCATGCTTATGGAAGGACCTGAGCTCTTAAGAAAATGTTTATGTTTCTCTTCTGTAATTACTACTTTATTAAACTGGAAGGGGAATAAAAGATTACTTCACACAGAAGATAAAAGGAAGGTAGATCTCTTGACAATAATTTGTTTCTCTTTATAGAACACAGAAACTGTTTTAGCACCAATTTAAATTTAAATGCAGCTGCATTTCAACCTAGCTACCCACAGCACTGTTAAAACAGTAGAGCTTTTAATGGGCAAAGGGAGCAATACAAGGTCAAAAGCTGCATAGGGAGAATGATCTAGAATAAAGTGTCAGAAAGACCTCCAGACTGAAAGAGGATAAGTTCAACTGGAATGATGCTTACCTGGGTTAATTTTAAAGAAAATTTTAAAGCATTTATCTTATTAATATTTATATAGCAGTTTGCTTTTTAAACATGTAGTTTATTTCTAAAAGCTGATGTATTTTACTCGTTGAATAATGGATAGTTCTAACAACCTATATAACTGGTTGACTATGTTAACATTAGAAGGCTATTCAGTACTAAACTTATATGTTGTAGTAAATTTCTGAGACAGCATGCAGAAGGATGGGCCTTTTTTTGTGCCCTGAATCCAGCTGGGAGAATGCCAGAAATGTACATTAAGTGTTGCTAACATTTGTTGAATAGTTAGAGCAGTGTTATTCAACATGCTGTGGAAATGGTCAAATCCCTCAATGCCGTCTGGAAATGTTTCAGTGAGAGAATGAGCTTTACTGAACAATGCAGTGTTCAGTACTACACTGCATCAGCTGCTGTTGGTGCTGCCATGCTACAGCTCTTGTCTAGGCAAACCTCCTGACTAGAAAAAAGCAGGACAGGCAAGTGATTTCTTCTGGGGTTGACTTCCCAATTCAGAAGGTATTCAACTTTAGCTATAGCTAATTTGGATTACCCCAGGTGGCCTTGGGAGTGGGACAGAACACATCAGGGTGGAAATGAGAATGCAAGCTGGGTGGGAATTTATGGTGGTTTGACTTGCACACAGAAGTGAAATGGCTGTATATTCTCTGCCTAGTCATCCAAAATGATACTGTAACTAATTTATGTTTCAATATGTTTATATCTAAGTGGGTAAGTCTTAAGTTAATGCTAGGAGGTTACAAAGGGACGAGAGAGCAGGGACATGAGATGCAACACAGGAAGGGCTACAATAAAGCAGCTGCCTCTGAGCAGTCTTTCCTTTGTTTGGTGTTTGCCTCTCCCTCAGTGTCCTTCTACCTCAGCCATACAAAGCTGTTGTAGCACGCAGTTTGTCTGTCTTCTCTTTGGCAGACTAGTTTCTGGGACAGTACCGATTTTAGCCTTGAAATTGTCAGCCTCCTCCCCTAGGTTCAGTTGTCTGTTGTGCTTGCCATTGTTTTCACTTTATTTGGAAAGGCTTTATTGCAGGTAGGTCTTCCAAATGTTTTCCCTGTAGCTGATAGGCAAGAGTTGGTTCCCTGATCTTTCATGACCCATCATTCAGACCTCTGGAAGGCTCTTCCCTGCTTTTTGTTTCTGTAGATTTTCAGTTTCTGAGCCCTTGATACCTTTGTGGAGCAAGCTTATCTGCTGTTCTGCAGAACCTGGGTTTCCCCATGTTTCTACTTCTGAGAAGTAGAGGATCTACTTTCATCTGATCTCTGCTATAGCCACCAATCCAGTTCTGTCAACTGCAGAAAGACAAGTGAGTGCAAGAGAAGATGACTCCTTTGAAGTGCCAGCTCTCCCAGGGAAGCTGCCAAAGGGGAAGGAATGAGGAGGTAGAAATTAAGTAAGACAGTTTGCTTACTAGTGTTTTCTCTTTTAAGTGGCTCAGGTTTTTTGGTGCCTGGGGCCTTGATAACTTCAGTTAGCTGCATGCCCTGAAGGAACACTGCTCTGCATACAATGCTTCAGCTCGGCTGAGAGGGACTGTTATTTCTCATATGTAAGTCAAATGTGATTGGTGGCATACATTTTAATGAGACACCACTGAGGTTTAATCTGTGCACAGAGCAGCTGGACCTTTCAGTTAGTTGAGTTAAAGCAAGAATAAAGGAGGGAAAAATATTAATGCACAAATGAAAGTAAGCAACTTTGTTTGCATTAAAAATTAAGTATCTCTGTACTGCCTTGCTGTTTTTCACCTCTGCTTTATTCCCATTTTCTGCTCCTCCCTTTACTCTGTGCTTACATGCAATTGCAGTGCTCCCTGTGGGTCCAGGAGAATGAAAGTGCTTATCTGGAAGACAGCCAACATTATTAGTCTAGCTGACTGATGGAGACCTATATACCATGAGTTGCTTCTCTGATTTCTTCTGAAGTTAACTTAGGTTAGTTTTTCAGGCACAACTGCTTCTCAGAGAACCCTGCCTATTGCACCTATGTGGAGATGGAAGAAAGGTTTTCAAAATGCAGGAAT